TTGAGAATTAGTGTTAAAATTAATCTAAAATCTAAAATGGGTAAATATTGTGAGATGAATACGTTCATGCCTTCAGTTCATTATTAAAGGTTTCATAAATACGTAAATTAACAAATAGCTTCGAGGGTATTCGAAAACAAAAAAACTTTATAATTTACTTAGCATATAAAGTATAGATAATATATATTTAGACATTTAGTATACATATATATATATATATATATTAACCTAACCTAACCGAACAATTTTCAATTTATGATTTATAATACCGTTGATTTTTATACACCGCCATTTTTTAACAACACCTCTTTTAAGACAATCCTTATGAAGTGGGAAGGACTTTGTGTTGTTATGGTGTTAAACGAGGGGGGCGTTTGGAAATTGACGTATTTTAGTATTTTCACAACGGGAGCTGTTGCGAGACAAATGGGATATAGGATATAGCCCATAAATCAAGTACGATTTGCGGCCTGGGTTTTATTATTAATGGGACGTATGTATTGCGACCCGCGGGCTTATAACAGGGACGAACGTTTTGCGGCCACATAATAATTACTACTTCATTATAGCCTATAAGGGTTACTCAGGAGAGACCACGTGGAAGTTGACTGAGTCGTCTTCCAAAATGATTTTAATTTTATGATGAATGAGTTTGTCGTATTTTTTTAATTTTAGATTATTGGTTAGGAAAAATCTTAAAACATAATGGCTTAAAGAAATTAAACGTATTACCTATTTCTTTTAGCTTAAGTTTTGTCTAATAAAGTAATAAACGCTTTCTTTTGACCTATTTTCTTCGTTTTGTGTAATAGGTAAGTCTCAGATTGACCCCCCAAATAACACATCACCAAAGTTATAGATGGAGGCGTTAGGCTAGTTTTTAGGGCTAGCTTAGAACGACATATTTAGTTTTGAGTGAAAACTTTCATAAATATTTACTTTTAGTGGGACGGTTTTCGGGTTGTAGCTAGTAGTAAATTGAGCTCAAATATTAGGGGGAATATAGACCCCGGTGAATCATTAGGGCCATAGCCACATCACATCTATGTATAGGTGCTCTACTATCACCCACTGTTCCACTAGCTTTAAATAAATATAAATAATATATTATATATAATCTTATAAACTAGGTATCTACTTGTACAAAATTATACTTTTATAAATCGATATCATATAATAGATTGATAATTTTTGTTTAGGAATGTGAAAATACTGAAATTAATAATTTACCTAACTTGTCAAATTAGTAAAAATCTTATAAAATAATAATAAAAAGAAGAATAGTGTAAAATGTAATTTTTCCCAAAAATATTGTTTTGAAACGGTTTAAAATTATAGCTGCAGTTACTGTCGTTACGGACGAAAACTGGCCAATAAAATGTCGCCCCGTCACAGTTCTCATCCTACTGTAGATGGCTCAAGGACTTCTCCGATTATCCATGGGTGACGCGCTCACGTTACAAACATGGTATTATACCTACATTTATATTATAGCTAGCTCCTACCTATTCAGTTTTCATTAAACACACAAAATTAATTGGTATATAGTTGTTTGGTATCGATGTGATAAACTGAAATGTGAACAAAGTAAATTAGGTACTTCACAAAGATAAATTTTGTTACTTTATGTATATAAGTACATATTATTTTATGTTTAAACGGTTTTTATAATTCTAAATAAAAAAATAAAATATTATAAACATTATAATTAATAAATAAGAAACGGTTTGGACTATCAGAATAAACTAAACTGTTCTCAAATTCAAATATTTAAATATACTTAACCATAATTCTATATAGTATATACATAGGTATAAGTATTTAAGTAAATCTGGTAACTCATAGTGTTGGTATAGAAACAGGTGTAAAGTTTTACACATTATTCAAACCAAGCTGTAAACCACTAGAACAAAAAACTGGAAATTTTTTTGACTTGAAATAAGTTTAAACTTTCAATCAGTATCTTTGCATGAACAATTTATTAATTTAATGGCCCCATACAACTGATTGGACCATCATCTCACTATTGATTTGTTAAATGTTTAGTGATTGTTCATGCAATCCGGCATGAGTATTACAAAAATATACAACTTCTCATACATTTATGACAAATGGGCTGTAATGGCACTAATGTTTTTATGTAGACTGTAAAATAAGTATAATTTTTTTTTAATTGAAATAAGCCTCGGCAACTATGGCCATTGGCAACTAAGAGTTTAAATTGTTTACATGATATATGTTACATATTTAATATTATTAATAAGGTTGGATTTAAAAATAAATGTTATAATGTGTTTTATGTTGTCTGGGTTGGGGGCTTCCGATAGAATGTTTAATAAGTATAATTATTTGATGTACTAACATGTAAGCTTTATTTAATATGTTGATATACTAAAAAACTAAATTACAACATTTTGAATAAAATTAACAACAGTGTTGTAATAAATAAATCAGTACAAAATAAAATATTAAGTACATGGTTTAACTTCGATAAAACAAATAATTTTGATATTAGATGTAAAAAACAATTCAGTTTTTGTACTGTATTTTTTCTTTGTTAAAATTTAGAAGAAAATAGATAGCCATTTGATAAAACCTATGTCTTGTAGCCATTGAAATAAAGGTTATTTGAAACAACATTTAAAAAATAAGTAATGACAAATATTTAATATATATATAAAAAGTTTTTAATTAATCAACCAAAATGCCAAAATAAAAAAAAATGTAATTTTATATTAATTATTTTCCTTTTTTTTTACACTTGCGGTCTTTTACAACTTCTGTTTTTAGAACTGCATGGTTTGCATCTTTTAAATGTTGATGTAATTTGTTTTTTGATGAAAATACTGATGAACATATACCACACGCATGATTAGACTTTTTGATTTTGGGGGCTTCAACTATTTTTTGTTTTTTTTTATTTTTTGTTGACTTTTCTGTTGTTGGTTCTCCTTGAGGTTGAGTCTCCTTTGGTGCTACTTCAGTCTCCACTTCTGGCACTGAATAGTTATCAATGTCATCAGGGATAGGATTATGATCATCATCGTTAGTCTTTTTAGCACTTATCAATACAACATTGTCTTTATGCTTATTAGATGTCTGATGATTGTGTAAAGCTTTTTCGGTTTTAAAACACTGATCACATGTCAAACAGTAGAATACATTAATTTCATCTAAGGTCTGTGAATGTTTCTTTTTCTTTTTATTTGGTTTTCTTTTTATAGTTGTTGTTTCTTCTTCACTACTTAAATCAGCTTCTAATACATCATCTGTATCAATATCATTTTGAACATTTAATGGATTGATATTCTTTATTTTATTTTTACTAAATTCTTTTGCTTCAGTTTCACTACTTAAACTATTGCAAGACTCCTCATTGCTACTAGAACTATCATATTCTGCTTCATCTACAACACTTTCTTCATCAGAATGGCTTTGACTATTGTCATTAGAAGAACTATTATTACTAACAGGTTCTTCGTTATTAAGCAGTTTTTCGTCATTCAACATCTCGACTTTAATAAGGTCAATATTTTCTTTATGCTTTTTAGATTTTTCGTGGTTTTGAAATGCTTTTTCTGTTTTAAATACTTTGTTGCAAGCCACACAGTATAAGCAGTTAGCCATTTCATCATCTGAATCAAATTCATCACTGCTACCATATTCAGCAATAAGGCTTTCTTCAATTACCTTTAATTCCTCTTCTACATTAGAAAACTTTGACCAATCAGATTCTTTATAATTTGCCATTTCTTTTTGCTTATCTTTTATTCTTTTTCGTCTAGCTTCTTCCATTCGCTTACTGTTTTCTGCCGATTTTAATTTAAGAGTCTCAGCATAAGCTTTTAATCGTTTATCACGTTTACGTACAAACTCTATCAATGCTTGTATTTTATCATTACGATCTTTTTTAGCTTTATCACGAATCTTCTTATTTTCTTTTTCCATTAATTTGACTACACGTCTGTTAGGGGCTTGTCGTATGTCATATTCATCTAACCATCCAAATGGTTTATGTGTGTTGAAACCACACCAAAAATTGTAGAATGGTCGCACAATATCAGCGTAGTCACTGTCTGATCGGCCAAATGTTGGAATATCATCAGGATCAACTTCAAAATAAACACTTTCTTCGACCAATAATGTATTGAATACCTCACGGTACACAGAATAAAATCCTTTATCGTCATCACCAAAGCCTTTGTAACAAGATGGTGAAAAATACTTAAAAAGATTAAGTTCACTAACAGGTGTATCACCACTATTAATAATATACTCCCGGTGGTTGTCATACCACTGGCGTTCACGTGGATCACCTAGTACCTCATATGCTTGCTGAATTAATTGAAACTGTTCTTTAGCTTCTTCAACACAGTCTGGATTTTTGTCAGGATGCCACCTCAAAGCTAATTTCTTATAAGATTTTTTCAAATCATCAGTAGAGACATCACGAGACACTTCCAACACTTCATAGAAACACTTCATTGTGTCTTCACTCAAAATATGCCTATAAATAATTATACATAACAATATAAGTGATTAGAGGTCATTTGAAAAATAATAATCATAAGTTTTACATAAGCAAATTTTTAACAATTTACATTTGTAAAAATTTACATTTTCAAATATATAAACATTAATATTTACCTGATATTATATTTTTTGACAATTTAATAGTGTTCTGATTGATCTGTTTTGTGTTCTTAATGAAACGATACATTACATTTTTAGAATGAACATTTAAACTATTGAACAACAAGTCAACAATCCGAGATCGACACCGACTACCGAGTCACCGACTACCGAGATCCGGAGATCCCAAGCACCCAAAGTTTATAGATAATAGATAATATTATCATTTATTATCTATGAATAAACATTGCCGAGAATCTACCAATTACCATCAGTTACCAAAACGAGTTGTGGGCATGCATCCGAAAAGTGGTAATTACAAGTGTTATCACTACACCGATCCGTGCAAAGATAATAAATCTGTATTCCTGTGTGGTTATTTAGTTTTCTATGGATTGAAAACGGAAAAGTGAAGTGAATAGTTATACTTTAATAATCTTGCGACGTACGAATTTAGTCGCTAACTTGCAGTTTATATTAATAGTATATTTTTTCTTTTTTACGTTTAAAGTTTACGCAATAATTCAATATGAGATTAACGGAAGCGCTCTGGTCCAAGCTACCTAGGGGTCATATTTTCAAAGGGTACGTACAATTTTTCTATGAAATTATGTATTTATGTTAATCAATTTCAAATCATATTAAGATATGTCGATGTACAATATTACAATGGATAACTCAATAGTCAATTGTTTAAAATACATAGAAAACATAATATTATGCTACTAATTTTCATGTCTGTGCTAACTTTTGCCATGAATGATAATTTCAAACATTAATTTAAATAAACAATTTACAATAATATGAAAGCTAGAATTTGCTAGTTAAAAACAATTTACCTACTTTATTAATATCAGTATTTAATTATTTATACATTATATTATAATCTGAATGACCAATGAATTTTCAATCTTAACTAATGGGTTCATCTATTGATCACCTGAAATATTCTTCTCAAACACTGTTAACTGTTATTACTTCGCTATGTCTACTTTTATAATTTTAATTAGGTTAATGAAAAAATAATTTTTTTATCAAGGATTGCATTTAATTAGTGATACATTTTATCTACCTACTAAAAAATAAGATTGGCACTTTTAATATGTGTCTGAAAAAATATATTTATTTTAAATACTTACTTTTATCATTGAAGTTAAAAGATTACCTATATTAATTATGAGTTATAACTGTAAGGCTTAGGTTCTATACCATTTGTATTGTATCTATTGTACTAATGTTTATTTTTAAAGTGAAGATGTGCATGTATTAACGTTCCTTATTAAACATTAATAAACGATGGCAGCAGAGGAGTAGTAGTGTTCACACAGATCCTCCTCTGCTGTCGGTTCAAACGAAAAAAAAAAAAAAAGGTTCTATACCATTTGATAATCATTATGAAATACAGATAGTTGAGTAGGATACATCTTACATTTGTATTAGTTATCAAGGATTCCAAGATTTCCTTCAAATTTATTTTATGTTTTTTGTAAACCATAGTTCACGAGGACACTACCCATGCGTTTGGGTCTGTCTTACAAACTTACGACATAGCAAATTTTCATTCTCTAGTTTCACTAGTGTATTGTTAGTTTTGATATTGAAGTGAATAAAGTTGACCTATTATCAAATTATAAGAGAAAAACATTATCTTTGTTTAAGCAACACCGGTTTTTTTTTTGATATTTTAATTTTTAAGTAAGAAATGGGTATGTGAAATAAAGCAAATTAGAAATAGGTTCATCTTGCTTGAAAATTAAATTATGTATAAAAGCCTAGACTTAAGCATAGGTAATGTTCTTACCTAGAAGTTTGATATTGGTCAATTCACTATACTATCAAGACTAGCAGCACACGTCACACTATTTCAACTAGAAAACTAATGAATTTGGTATATCGTACATGTGTAAGACAGAAACAACAAATACATAGGTTGTAACCTCTTAATTAAAATAAGTAAAGGAAAAAAATAGATGATTTTGAATAGTATTTTTTCTGAAGATAAGTTAATTTTAAGATTATTTATTTATTTATTTTATTTTAAACAACCTTAATCAAACATTTAATGTACCTAATAAGTAATAAATAATATATTAAATAGGTACACATTCTTTTTCATTTTATTTTAAGATTTATTAAGTAAAATAAATAAATAACATTTATTATTAAAGTTGATATGCAGTAATTTTTAATGCTATTTAGTCCAAGCCCTGATAAATAAGTAATAAATAATAATCCTTTTTATTTATTTATTTGGGTTGATCAATCCGGATTTGATGCAAATATGAGCACCTACAAAAAAACAAAAATATCCCTTGACTTGCTATGAAACACCAGCACAAATAAGTCACCGTCCAATATTTATTGGATTTTTACTTTTTGGATTTGTAGCGTCCTAACTTGTACTGTCCAGATTTTTACATTACAGGTTTATACGCACTCACACTAGAAGTTCTCAAAAATTAATATTAAAAAAAAATGTTAAATTATGTATGCGGGTTTTAATTAATTAAGTTATAAAGTTAAAATTAATCAGTATTATGTTCATGTGTTATACCTTATTTACTTTTTTTTATTACAGTAAACATCGTCTGGTCAAACCAGTTACTGGATTAGATATACATAAAAAACTTAGAGATTTTCAACGAGAAGAACAAAACATGTTTTACCTCAGGCATTCATATTTGACCAGGGTAAATGCATTGAAATAGATATAAGCACACTTTTCTATCAATGATAAGTTTTCTATTTTTCATCTTTATAGCAATTTATATGATACTACAATATATAAGTATTTATATTGTTTGGGTCAACTGTTCTTTCAAACTTATCATAAAGGTAGTTCAGAATTTAAATCTGTTTGCAATTATAGGAAGAGTCATTTGGTCATTCGAAAGAACAAGGTCGCTTTGAAAAATGGATGAGGAAATGGAAAGTGTTACAAGCAGAAAAATTTGGAAAACACAAGCCAATTGAAAATCACTTAAGTCATCTTAGGTCATCTGATGGATGGGAAAGTTACTAAGAGCTTCAACAGCAAATAATATGTAACAATTAGATTCTTAATAACATAGGTTGTTTGTTTACTTTAACGTCTGTGAATGTATGAAGGATAATAAAATGTAAAATAAATTAATGTGATAATAAACATTTAAATACATAATATGTGACATGTTAAGTTACTAGTTAACAAAATATTGAAAAAAAATTAAGATTATAATTTTGATTCAAAGCACGGTTAATCATAGCCTGGTGCACATAACTGTATCTTCTTCCTCAGTCAACCATTTATTGTCAATTGCTTGATCTTTGTTCAATGTCCTACCACTTCCCAATAATTCAGCAAATTGTGCAGCGATTGGATCACTTCCAACCGTTGCTACTGCCACTACTTCATTTCCTTTGCAATAATATACAACAGCTTTGAAGTTTTCAAGATCACCATTAATTAGAACATCAGTGTAACCTCGGTTGTATCCTTTAAAAATATAAAATAATATAATGTAATAATATTTTACTTCATGTATTAATAAAAATCATCATAATTCTAAGAGAAAAAAAACATACCGGCAAATCTTATGCTAGTTCCAAATAATGCTGTCCAGAAGAAGGGCACAGATTTAATAGGAGTTTTTTTGCCAAGCATTTGTAAGGCAGCAACTTTTCCATGGTAAGTAGCCAACTGCCAATGACCTAAGGACGATTTAGCGTTGGAAGGGTAGACAGGAGCATTGGCAACATCTCCACCAGCAAAGATTCCTTTCACATTAGTTTCCAAATTCTATAAATTGAAAAATATTTTTGTTATGTTATCATAAAATCACTGTCTGGTAACAAAAAAAAATCACACCTTGTCAACTTCAATTGTACCATTAGAAGAGTTAATCACAACGTTAGAACCAGCCAAAAATTCAACATTAGTCTTTGATCCAGTGGCCATGATGCAAACATCTGCCTTTAACTTTTGACCATCAGACAATTCTATTTCAGAGAGTCGATTATTGTAACCAATGTAATTTTTTACACTTGTTTTCATGTGAAACACAACGCCTTTGGATTCAAATAATTCTTGCACTCGTTCGCCTATTTCTTTTCCTAAACTTTCTTTGAAAGGTACATCACTACGGCCAATCACGTGCACAGATTTTACTTTAGAAAAGGTTGCTGCAGCTAATTCCATACCTAACATTTTTTTAATAGTGTTCATTATCATTCACTAAGTGTTAAACATTTTAATTGAAGTTACCAATAAATGATGATCCAACAACGACCAAATGACAATCAGATGACAAACTTTGATGGATTTTATGTGCGTCCTCTATTGTGCGCAATGTAAATACATTGTCATACTTGGAAACTTCTGGTGTAGAACGAGGCCTAAACACATGTAATTATTAAAAACATAAATACTATTATTTTTAGTTTAATAGGTATTTACGTCATTCCACTAGCGATAAACATAGCATCAAATGTTAATTGTTCATTGTTTGATAAATATACAATTTTTGTACTTGTGTCAATTGATTCTACACTAGTCTTAGTTAGAATTTCAATGTCTCCAGACTGAAAAATAGAAAGATTATAAAGCTGTTAAAATATTGCTTACGCAATAAAATGCACAAATAAAATTTTATTGTACTTAGAAAAACTTGGTTAATGTATGGACATTTTAGGACAATACATAGTGACAAATACTTAACTAAAAAAAAAAAGTAAGTGCGTAGTATTGGACTAAAAAAATGTTATTTCATACAAACTATAAAATGTAATAAACCACTTATAAAATTTAATATAATTAACTTACTTCATAAAACTGTTGAGAACGTAACAATATACTATTGACTTCAGAACTCAAGGCTTTGCTCAGTTTTGTTCGGTCGTATGGCAAATAATTGTCTTTAGTGATCAATATCAATCGACCATCATATCCTTCTTGTCTTAATTTTTCTACACATTCTGTACCAGCGGGTCCTAGAGGAATAGTTCAATATTAAATTTCAATTTTAGTTGTTGATAAAATAACTAAATTACCACTTCCAATGATAATGAATGTACGTTTGTTTTCTGGATTACGTTTAGTTAATGGTTTCACAAATTTTGCATTTTCAAGTGCACACTTCTTGGCGGATACTTTTACATTGCCATTGGTTACAGAAACCTTAAAACTCGGAATACTATCTAAGCCAGGGAAATCCTCAATGTCACCTATTTATTAAAAAAAAATAAAGGTTTTAAATGGTCTTTAAATGAACATCATGTTTAATAAGTATTAGTTTTACCAGTTTTCAAGTTGAAACAAGCACCATGCCAAGGACATCTTACTATACCATTTCCTAGAGCCCCTTTAACCAAAGGGGCACCATAATGTGAACATTTCGATCCGACAGCGAAAAATTCATTATTTTGTTTTACAACTAAGACTTTGTTGCCATTGTTTCCAATCTCAAATTCTTGCATTCTATTATTTTTTAATTATAAATATTGATGTAATTTTAAACGTTATGAACAAATATTAAAATTATTGATTTACCCATTATCAGGAATGTCATTTTCATTACACACAATTTGTTCGATGACATCATCATTAGGACCTGTAAATACATAAAATATTTATCAATACATAAAACAAATGATGAGTAAATTTACTATACATAAATAAATATTTTTTTAAAGCATTAGAAAAATGTGCATTTTAATGAAATTAAAAAAAAAAAATACCAAAAAGCAAATGAAAAAAATACAATAAATTTAAACAAACACACACCCGACATTGTTCTGCAAAACACACGCGATTGAGAACGTATACTACTTCTAAATACTAGTCTTCGAATAAATAACATTCAATCCCTGTATGATATACCGGATTAATAGCCTGAAAGCATGCAAACAAAAAAAAAAATGAATCAACTTTTTTTTGTTTATAATTGTGAATGACGAATTGAAAATGATAGAAAATCACTTTAAATAGTTTAATGATAAGTTATTGATGATTTGATAGCATTTTCCTAATCAAATGGTGAATGTTAATATTATTAGTGTCCACAAATAAATATGATGTATGTATATGTATTGTATGTACTTACAAACTATAATAAGTACTTAATTAAATTGAATGTTATTTATGTGAGTATGATTACCCACGGTGAAATGATTTTTATGATAACTTATAATTTCAATGAATTGTAAGTGGTGTCAACCATAGATTTTAATGACATTCACACCAATAGGCACATGAAATAATTATTTTATCATGCAAACATTTTAAGTTTTATTTGATATATTATATAGTAAAGAATATCTTAGAACTAACATTTAAAACTTTAGTCTAAATTGAAAAATAGATAAAATTACCAATTTATACGATAGTAAAATCTATAAAATCTACCTAGATAATATTTTAACAACCTATTAATTATTGTTGTATTTGTATTAAAAAAATAATCGATAAACTCACTCTGCTATATGGTAGGATTTGAGTGTACCTCGTAGTTGAGGTCACTATAACGAAAGTGTTAAATATGAATTTAATGATATATCGAAGAAGATGGGTATATCTGGATATATTTCTGAGGGTAATTTATATTAGTTATATTATTATTATTTATTTATTTGTGAATTTGGCAGGTATAACCAATTTTTCTCAATCACAGCATGTAACCTAAAGTCAATATAGGCATACAGTAAAATTATGTATAACTATGATGTATGTAAAACTGGTAGGGTCAGACTGTGGAACAGCAAGGCATATAGATACTAACTATGTCTCGGACTAGTTTTAACACTAGGCTCTGCGTCCAGACATGATAGGTTAAATATATCTTTACCTAATTGATTTGTCGGTATTTACAACAAATTCAGTGAGTAACACCATTTAATTTTTAGGTTTAACTCCATTTCATCATTAAACAAACTTCATTTTACTCATATATCATATTTAAGACATAAACCTAAATGTGGTCAGGACAAATGAGGAACAAACTAGGACAAATTGTATGAGGGGGGGCTAAAATTTTATCAGTAGAACAGACCCAAATAATTGATATTTTAAATTAAAAAAAGGTTAAAACTGGGGTTGCTACAGACACAACGTTTAGCCCCCCCTAATTATATTTAGGTATCAGGACCAAGAAAAAATATCAGTTTTATTCAGATATTTAGGTAAATTAATAGGTAATTAATGTAAAAACCCCATTTAGTATCAATTAGTACTGTTCCAAACTTCCACAAGTTATATAAAAAATTATAAAAACATGTAAAACCTGGTGTGCACAAATCAATGATCAAAAATCATAATATATAGTATATAATATTTAGTAGGTTTTTGTAACTAATTGCATTATTTGTAGTTTTATCTGCTTTAAAATATAAATAAACTTATTGATAATCGTGTTCATTAAGCCATCATTAAAATCATCTAAATATCTTATTAAATACAGGAACATAAAAATAAAACTATTTTGACATTTGATATTTGAAAATTCTATGTTTATTGCTATTTAATGTCATTACAAACAAGTTAAGTACATTTGAAGTGTTTAGTGAATGCATAATTACAATAATGAAGTTAGATAGGCCAGAACAAATAAAAATGTGGGCTTTTTCAATGTTTGAAAAATAATTAAATACCTATTAGGTATATTCTAATAATTTTAATTTTATATAATGCATAGGAAATACAATGGTTTATATTTCAAATCTTTAAATGGCAATGAAAAAAGCAATATTTGTAGGTTACGAATAGGGATAGCCTATGATAAAATATGTACATACTTATTACTATTTCAACTTTAAATATTAAACAATTATAAATAATTACAGTAGTGTTAATGGGTATATTCAAATATCAGTAGTTATTATTTTTTTATTGAACTACTAGAACAAGTAGGTATAGGTGTATCATTAAATTACTGTAGTAAACTATTACATGCAGATAATATGAAAAAAAGTCAAAGTTCACGATTATTTCTTACACAATATAATTGTATAATTAGGTAGGTAATTGATAATATTTAAAAAATCTTATGATAAACAATTACATAAATATTTTGTAAAAAAAATGCCATATAGATACCTACTCACATAACTCAAACGCATGTTGAATATATTAGGTAAATATAATTTTTACATTTATAGACAACTGCAGTTTGACCTATGTTTTAACAACAAAAGGTATTATTAATTAATTCTACACATTCTAAACTAATATTATGCTCACAATTCCAAGGCTTGATAATTTTAATACGCATGTATAAATGTATGAAATATACTTATTACATGATGTTATTGATATTATATAGACTACAAAAAAAAAAATTTTTTTAGACTAATTTGTTATCTTTTAAATTTTTTAGAATTATATATGAGGTTAGATGTATCCAAAAGAGTTTATTTTTTAATGAGTATTATTATTTCCATACTGAATTCATAATTGGTATTTTTAAATTTTATTATTTACAAACAGGTTTACAATTTTTTGTCTATTTTATACCACTTTGTTTTAATGTTAATAGTTTCATTAGATAATACCTATTAAAAAAAGGTTTGTGAAATTAAAAATCATAACTTTTCAATGTTTGGTATGCAGAATAATATACAGGTTGCAGGTGATGTTTCAGGTAGCAATGTAGCACCAATGTTAATATTGTGAGAAAAATAGTTTGAGTTACCATTAGATGGTTAGGTCTGCATAATTATATGAATAGAACACATAAAGAGATCAATGACTGGCAGTCAGTTATGTGTACTACAACTGTAGATAAGTACTTAAAGTATAACCCTACTTAAAAGCTTTGGAAAGCCTGGGAAAGCTCAAGCTCAACCGGGGAGATGAAAACAAACAGGGTGGAAAACGGTGACGGTGAAGTCTTAAATTATAGGTATTTTATTATCGGCCACAAGTATTTTTAAAAAAAAAACGAAAACTCACCTTCAGTGCTCTTGGACGCTATCGAGCCCATTTGATAGCTCGGAATCGACTGCTGGCGGCGGCGGCGATGTGGAAAACGTTCGGCGGTGGTGGGAAAGTACTATTACTACCCACAGCGATATCGTTTCGATCTGTATATTATTATTATGTATCGCCGTTCACTTTGGGCATAACTACTGCGTACTTATGCCTATAAAGATCTATGGCGTGTGTGGTACGGGTAATAATTATAACGAAACAGGTCGCGTGGAGAGATTTCGTTTTCGTCGTCGCCGAGTGCCGACGGGTGAATGTATGAGAACTGAGTATACCGTCACCGTGACCGTGCGCGCGCGTCTGTGGTCACGAGAAATACAATAATATTATTATGAAAGAAAATAACCAATAATAATAATAATAATAATAATTATAATAATGATAATTACGATCAGGTGGGGCGCAAAGCGCATGCACACGCACACTAGAGAGAGAACTGATAGACCGCTGACCGACACCTCACTAGCTGTCGTGTCCAGCGGAATTATTATAATATTATGATTTATGACGGAACGTCCACGCCGAGACTCCAAGAGACCTTGAAACTCGATCGGTAGGCGAACCAATGCCTCTAATGTCGTCGATTATTATAATATTTAAAAATTATTACGACAGTCAATTACCTATCTATAATAAAAATATAGGTATAAAGTATGTAATCTGACAGTACAATAATGTTGATTTATTATTCACGCAATAGCGCCAGCTGTACAGGGTTTTCGTCCTACCGTTTGTTTTGTTATCGACACGCTTTAACCCCAACGGAATGATATCAGTAAACAAAACGAAGATAACAACAATACAATTCGTTCAAGGGACAAGCACAATTTATATTGACGGACAATTTTAGACTTTAGTTCCAACCACGTTATCTATAATATACTATCTATAATCGTGGTTCCAACAGATTTCAATCCGCCCTGATTATAGCATTGTTCTATGATTATAATGTACAACAAATTGTAATCAGTTTAATATAATGTATGCTCTATGACTCGACCGTCAACCATAGATTATCTAATAACACGGAAATACGGAATAGATGAAATTATTAAATTATTTCATCTATTCAGTATTCTGTATTTCTGTGGTAATCAATAATCATTGAGAGGCCACTGTATGGGCACACAATATGCACAATTCATAGAGCTACAAGTCAAATTATAATATTTATTATCATAATTCGTGACTTGAAGTCACTATACAAGTCACAAGTGTAGCTAACTCATATATATGGAACTAAAATAAAATATGCGAATCGCGATTATGGTTGTCTATGTTTTAAGTTCCCGGACGTGTTTCTGTTTTCCGTTCGGGGATTAATGATTTGATATCGTTACCGTCAACGCATTCATTAGAATAACAATAATAATAACACCTACTGACTACATTTTGTGTTCCTAATAAAATACAACATGTACCGCAAAAGTATTACCAATAAGAATTGGTATTACCTTATAAGTTATAACTGGGGTTGTGAATTTAATGCACTAAAGAACCTTAAAAAATGTCAAAAAAGGCAATAAAATATGCACTTAGAATACAATATAAAATGTCAAAAATTATAGTATAAAATTAATTAAAAAAGGTTTTTAATTTGATATTAATATTAGGTGCAGGATATTACACATTAGTACATTACATCCACAAAAAAGTGTTTATTTAATTAAAAAAAAAAAAATAATAATGTTGATTGAATTTGAATTTTCTATACTTAATGCTATTCACCCGACACATTTTTTAAAAACTTTAGAAATAAATAACTTAGAAATAAGTAATAAATTATGTAGTTATCTAGCAATTGCCTTATTTTATCGACATATATTCAGCCTGTGTACAAAACAATTTTTTTTTTTAAACATTTTTTCCGTCAGTTGACGGAATTTAATTAAAAATACTGGAAAATGAACTAGAGAAGGAAAATATGACCTAAAACAATAAAAAATGTAAAAAAATGCAAAATTAAAGTTGCATAAATGGATTTGTAGTTATACATTCAAATTATATGTGTATAATATATATATTCAAATTATGTACTTACAAAGCTCCATTTCCCAATCACCAAAAAAAATGCAATCACAGATTCTGTCCTACAAATTCACAGCCCTAGTTATAACACTTTAACAGTTAACAGTCACTACAACAATGTCGAATTAAAGCTAAAATCTACCCACTGTAATAATATTGTTTGATAAACGATTTTACAATTTATAAGTACTAATACTTAGTTCTCAGAATTGAAGATCACTCACAACTAAATCTTAAAAATCTTTCGGCTTCTCAAAGCGTTCATTAGGCTTGCTTGTCGATCAAATACTCATATACGTATAGCTAGGGCGTAGGGGAATGCTTAACACATTTAGTACCTAGTTGTTCAAATAAGCAATCTATTTTTTTCTAAAATTAATTCCTAAAAAAGTAGGGTTTAAAACCGATTTTTAAAACCATTAAAAATCTAAATCAATACCTATCAAAACCTTAACAATTCCAAACTAGTTTTCATAATTGAAATCAAAATCAGAAAGCTGGACAAGTGGGTACCTATATCTTAAATAATAAATCATGTTGTCGTGTATGTCATTGTAATGGATGTGTTAATGTGTTATATTTGAATTCAAAGATAAACCATTAAAAATTATACTTTAAATTATACATTATACTTGTGTAAATATTAAATATTCAAATATAATAATTTTAAAATAAATAATAAATATTGAAAATATCTCATGGCTATAAATAGCGTAACTTTTTAGTAAGCTATTTTTTTTTTTGTTAAAGGTAAGAAAATTTGAGGGGGATTTTCTATTAAATTTTTTTATGTTAGCTATGAAAAGAGAAACTTTTATACATTTCTAACTGAAAAATAATTTTTAAAATTAAAAAAATGCTCATGTCTATAAATAGCTCAAAAAAGTCAAAATAGTTTTAACAATTTAATCATGTATTGAAAATGGTCATTTTAACATATTTTGGTGAACATGAACATTTCTAGTGTTTAACCTTTTTTATTTTCACTAAATCGATTAATGGAAATTCGTTAATCTACCGATGAAAATCCAATATGATAATATCGTAAATATTTTAAATTCAAACACTCATAAAAAATTAATGTAACTTTCCAGTAAAGTTTTTTTTGACTAAGGCAGAAAAATGGGTGGGGAATCTTCTATTACAATTTTTAATGTTAACTGTGAAAAGAAAAAAAACATAAATATTAGCTGTAAATTAGTAAGCACAGGTTAGATCGTAAAGCTCCCTCCCCCTTATTTGTGCTTATTGAGGTTTTTTAAGAGTTTTTTTTATCATGAAGTCTTGTGTCTATAGATAATTGATATTACACAAGACTAAATAAATTAGGCATTTGATATTATCTATAAACTTTGTCTATTGTTCTGTGAGTGCTGTAAACCGAGGTAGATTGATACATTTGATACTAATAAATCTAATACAAACCAAGATGGATCAACTTTACAATAAACCCAGGATTTAAGATACCATAGTTGAATAGTTCATACTATATGCAGTATACACCTTGTCAGTTGCCACTTGCCATGAATCATGATAATAAAGAGCTGAAGATATAATTTACAAATCGTGGACCACGAACCAAAGATGTATCGCCTTATCACTCATCAGTCATCTGTGAACATTGAACACTGTGCACGTGAGCCAACTTATCTATGGTCGTATCTTATCTATTATCTAATATCTATGTGACTTCGGTAATAAGGCACTAAAGTTTAAAACATAACTCCTTTTCAAGGTGGCCTTAAAACGTTTAAAGCCACTGAATAGATGAATGAAATAGATTTAATTTATTTTGTAAAATGTGTGGTGACGTGCAGTACTGCAGTAGTTTTATTACTCTAAGTGAAGTAGTCATATTTTATATTGTAGTACCTATTTATAATATAATATTTCTTTTTAACTATTTATCTCAGTATTTTGTATGTAACATATGTACCGAACATGCATAATAAATCATGATTGTTTCAATAATATTTTTTGAGAGTGAATTATGACGTTCAAGAAATGTGAAGCCACACCACTGCTGCTGCTGGTGAAATGAATTTGTCGTCGGCTGATGACGACTTGGATTTGAACATTTTTGACCCATACACACAAGCTGCGTTGATCAGAGGTAAAAATGTTAAATTATGTTATTTTTGAGTAGAAAATGACTAATCATTGTCAGAAGTCCCCCAAAATATTCTAAAATTCAATTGTTTGTACAATGTTTCATTTAATTTATGTATATGTATTTAAACTGAATGAATGGTGATGACTGATAATGAAGTGTTTGTATGTTTTCACATTATAGACCTATACATTTAGTATACAAATATATTTTTTGATATGGACTTTTCCCCTCATATTTTGACTTAACCTAATCTTCATTTATATAATTAGGTATATTATTTTGTTTTGGCTATATTCAAAATAAGAGTACACTAGTTTGTGCATGTACTAAAGTTTTGAATGTTGCCAGACCCTTGTACCTCCAAATTTTGAATTATGGTACATGGTTACTTCCGATTGTACATTGTTATTAATCCTGATGGTTGCTTGCCCAAACTCTACCAATTTTCAACAGCCAACTGGTGTAGTCTCATCTTGAATAGAGTTTGATGTTATTACCTAACATAGTTCATATTATATTATATATATAAATATAATATAAAATTAAACTCTGAAGTTATTGTATATTTTTTTGTTGGTAACTCATCGTTTTCTATGAATTTAGATTTCAACTATTTTTTGCTTTTTAAACAAAAATTAAACAGTACATTTCTACCAATTAGCAAATAACTTTTAAACATAAAAACCACTCTTAAAGGTAAAGGTGTAAAATATTTTCATTGTATTTTTTACTTGATACAGGATTATCCAACATAATTCATGGATGATACTATTCATAAATTAGTTATGGGTGTTAGAAATTAATTTTTTATGTTTTCTACATTGAGGTAACAATTGATAATGGCCATGAATTATCGTTAGGTATATTCACTTTTCAGTTTCCAAGATGCTTTGGAAAGAGGGTTTATAATACAATGCTACAAATAAAATGAATACTTACTTTTTTATGGTTTGATAACATTTGAAGAAAAAACATTTTATAAATAAACAATGTTGTCATTACCATAATATAAGAACCGTCAAAACTATCATGCTTTAAGAATAATATTATGGTACAAAAAAATTGTTTTTTCTGACTACATAAAAATACATAATAGTTTAATGTATAACTTAACCAAGATAAATATGTCCATTAAAGCTATTAACTGATAGTATAATAATGTACTTTAGCAATAGGTTCCAACAATATTTTATGCCAAGCTTAAATTATTGACATAAGTGAATAATTAAATTGATTAATTGTAAAAATAAAGACATAGAAAAATAAAATTATAAAATATTATCACAACAATAATATGTGAGTGTGATTGCTTACAAATAATTACTAGTTTGCATTGTTTAGGAGGTTTTTTATCATCCACAAATATTTTAAAGTATACCGAGGCAGAATTTAGAAAAAAAGCAAATTTGACAGTAGTAGCCACTCGCCGCGTGTTTATTGTAGCAGCCAATATAAGTGCTTCAAATGTCAAGTAAAATTAATTTCTAATAAAGTTTTAAAGCACGTGTATAAATAGTGATTAATACTGTTATAGGTGTCATCAAGAACCAAACAACCAAGTACTTACTACAGGTTGCAAACAGATCGATACACTTTTGGGGGGAGGCCTATTCAAATATGGTATTACAGAGATCTCAGGCGAAAGCGGCTGTGGGAAAACACAATTTTGCCTGCAGATCGCACTCACTGTCCAACTTCCATTACCACTTAAAGGAGCAAAATCTGGTTAGTAATAATGAATTGTTTTGTATAATAGATTTGAAACTTGACCTTTGTTTAAATTAAGGAGCTGCATACATTTGTACTGAAGATCGATTTCCCTCTAGTCGAATACAACAGATGATCTCTAATGTTCGTTTTAAATATCAATGTGACAGCAAAATTGATATGAAGGAATTATGTGAAACAGATTATGGAGACAATATTCTGATTAGTCACATAGCAACTGTGGTAAATTATTGTGTTTTGATTAAAAGATTTTTTCCAACTCCTCTCATGAATTTTAGGAAGATTTAAAAAAATGTATCCATGAAATGCTTCCAAAAGCACTGTTACACAGACCTATAAAACTTATTATCATTGATAGTATAACAGCAGTATTCCGTGGAGAGTATACACTAAGTGAAGTACCTCGTAGATCCAGGGATCTCAGAGATATAGCAGTTTTCTTACATAAGCTATCTGTTGAACATGGACTATGGATCATATGTGTTAATCAAGTAATAAAAATATGAAAGTTAAACTCAAATTTAACATACTATAAATTTCATTCTTATGTTTTCATATACAGGTAACATCATCAATATCAGATATTGGCGGAAATAAATTAGTTCCATCTTTGGGGCTTTCGTGGGCGAATTTAGTGACTACTAGACTTATGATGTCCAAGACACATTCTTCTAAATACATTGAGGTTATGTTCAGCCCACACACAGCTCCAAGAAGTGTTCCTTTCAGAGTTACTGAACAAGGGATTGAATGACTAAACTGAAATGCATTGTTTATTCAACAAAAGTAATTTGTATTTTGAATTATTTTTTTATCATCAGTCATGACGTGTTTTTTCATGATATATATCCACTTTACAAAATATATTTTTATAAAAATAATATGTTTTTTTATTTTAAAAAAAAATTTCACTTTAATATTTAATTAATAATATAAACAATGTTTAAATAAAACTTGATTACCATAATGGTTTACAATCTTATGTAATTAAGTATATAGTTTTTAAATTTAGTGTTAACTTATTTTTTAGAAAAATGTGAATTGAAAAAATTCACTATGAAGTACTGTATTGCTATTCAATTATAAGGGATGCAGACGCATAGCTTACTGACGAATCACCCAGATTGTAGCATTTGCTGGACTGAGCATACTTTAAAAATTTGAGTGACAATTTTTGAGTCCGTAAATGGTTAGCAGCCTATTAAAAAAATTGTAATATAGGCACTGATATTGTTACAGAAAAAAAATGTATTCTAATTTACCTGCAATAGAACGCTGATAGGGTGTCTGCCACATATAGTGTTAGAGAATGTTTTTAAGTACTCAACAAACGCAGCTGGTTTTAGTGTTTCTATAGTATCCATGCCCTTGAAAAAAATGACGTACATAATTATTAAAAAGTTATAATATCATAGCTGCAATTTATGATACTGTATTTTAATTTGAATTAATTTCCATTCAATAAAACATGTAAGTTAATTAAATTATAATCTTTAAATAATGTTCTACCTTATGATCTAGAGTTGTAATTGATTGATGAATTTCACCCCAAGATTTTTCATAAAATGTATAACGAAATCTTTGTCCCCAATGACAAAAATCTGAAGATATAATAAAAAGATTTTTTGGATCGGCTAAATATTGAGCGAATATATGTCCATAGAGAGATTCTTTTTCAGTACTCAACGAACCAACCATTACTGGCACAATAGTGAATTTATCTTTGTAGCTAAAATATAAAAAGAAATTGTACATAAATTATAGTAACTAGAAATGTAAATTTTTCTTAATGATAATTACTCTTGCATCACTTTGGCAATATATGGCAATTGCATTTCTATGCTATGTTCGTCTTCATCTACTTTCATACTCATTCGTTCGAAATGTCCTGTAGACTCGAGCTCTTCATACACTATATATAAATTGAAAACAATGACCTAATTTCACTTCAGCATTATAAATTCTTACCCTCATTGTCTATTTGTAAATCATAAAACGGTGTTCTATACTTGACAGCGGTTGACAGAGCACAACCAGACAGACGGACATTATGTGAGGGTCCAAGTATAAAAATACGTTGCCTAAAAATAACTAGAGTTACTTATGAAACATTTTGTAGTCATTGTAACTTACACGACAAATGGACTAATCTGGCGATAAGCAAATGCTGCACAAGCACCACAGTACTGATATCCTGCATGCCTGTAAGATAGAAATTCATTAGACTTATTGAGGATTAATGAATATAACACATCAATCAAATGTACTATTTGAAAAATACGCACGGAGCTATTATGGCTCTGGCGGGACCATGAGTGAGTTCGGCAGCTCCTAACCAGTTTTCTAATTGGTTGCTGAGCTCCTTAGCTGAAAAACAAATTCTAACGTTTTATTCCGATCTCGATCGTTGACAAAGAAATCACGTACCCGATTCGTTGTACCACGTCCCAGAGTGACTAGCTCTACGTACAGCCATTTTTGTTGAATCAGAGTGAAGATTTATTCCAACGTAAAAAAAGAAATGTTTAAAACTGTCAAATACAAAATCAGACGATCAGTAATTGGACACCATAAAAAATATTGAAGACAATGGTGATATATATTCTATAATGGGGTATGGGCTATTACTAATTAGAGTATTAGACTTACAGTACTACACAATAGTAACATAATATTTCGTATTATACTATACATAAATATAATATAATAATGTAAAAGCGAAAATCGCTGGGTAAATCAATGATAACAGTTTGATATCGAGTGCGGATCCGGTGTGGCCATGTAACAAAATACAATGGCCACGCGTCGAACTCGCCGGTCGTCGGACCACACTGACAACTCATTTGGTTCCACGCTTATCAAAGTATGGTTATCACGTCGACGTTAATACAATATGGTGATTGGTTCCAGTGTTTGACGATTGTCTCATTGAAGATAATATACCAATTAAATATTTTAGAATTAAATAATAATAATAAGTCGGCTATTACATTAAATATATTGTATTAATAATAAAATATCAATATTCAATACCGGTGCGTGGGTTTTGACTGGTGAAAAGTCTATCGAATAATTTGAAAGCTTACGAAAGAAACGGCAGAAACAGGTCTCCTTCATTTTTGGTCTTGAACAGGGCGTAGTAATTACTAACTAGTAGCTTGTCGTGGAGACGGCTCGCGATACGGGAACGTGGAACTAATGAAGTGATTGACTGTGAACTGTAAGCATTCGGTTCACGACAATGTCTGCATCGGCTATTTACATACTGGACGTTAAGGGAAAGGTGTTGATATCCCGTAACTACCGGGGTGACATCGCGCCCAACGTCATTGAAAAGTTCATGCCACTGCTGATGGAAAAAGAAGAAGAGGGATCGTTGACACCTTTATTGCAGACCGAGGAGTGTACATTCACATACATAAAATGCAACAACCTGTATGTTGTGTCCACGACCAAGAAGAATGCCAACATTATGCTGGTGTTTGTTTTCCTACACAAGATTGTACGAGTCATGAATGAATATTTCAAGGAAATCGAAGAGGAGAGTATACGCGACAACTTTGTAGTTATATACGAACTTTTGGATGAACTGCTCGACTTTGGGTATCCACAGACCACTGACAGCAAAATCCTACAAGAATACATCACACAAGATGGCCACAAATTAGAAATACAACCAAGGATCCCTATGGCTGTGACTAATGCCGTATCTTGGCGCTCTGAAGGGCTCAAGTATAGAAAAAACGAAGTATTCTTGGATGTTATCGAATCAGTAAATTTGTTAGCTAGTGCCAATGGAAATGTACTAAGGAGTGAAATAGTTGGTTCAATCAAAATGAGAGTCTACCTGTCTGGAATGCCGGAGTTACGCTTAGGGCTTAATGACAAGGTATTGTTTGAAAGCACTGGACGTGGAAAATCCAAATCTGTGGAACTTGAAGATGTCAAATTTCATCAATGTGTCCGTCTATCACGATTTGAAAATGATAGAACTATATCATTTATTCCTCCAGATGGAGAATTTGATTTGATGACATATAGGTAATGTTGAGTTTTTAAGTAGTTAAATTCATTAGTACAACCATACAGTAATAATACTTTCATTTTCTTATAGGTTAAGTACACACATCAAGCCTCTGATTTGGATTGAAAGTGTCATTGAAAGGCATGCCCACAGTCGTGTCGAATACATAGTAAAAGCAAAATCACAGTTCAAGCGTCGGTCTACTGCTAATAATGTAGAAGTAGTCATTCAAGTCCCAATGGATGCTGATTCTCCTAAATTCAAAACTACCGTCGGCTCTGTCAAGTATATGCCAGAGCAAAATTCTTTAGTGTGGTCAATAAAGTCTTTCCCGGGGGGCAAAGAATATTTGATGAGAGCACATTTTGGTTTGCCAAGTGTTGAAAATGAGGAAACTGAAGGCCGGCCTCCTATACAGGTGAGGTTTGAAATACCATATTTTACAACATCAGGCATTCAGGTCAGGTACTTGAAAATTATTGAGAAGAGTGGTTATCAAGCATTACCTTGGGTACGATACATCACCCAAAATGGAGACTACCAGTTAAGAACCAACTAAAATGCTGAGTTAATATTATTATTATAACTGAGTATAAGATATTTATGGTATTATTATCTATTACTTCAAATGAGATAGCATATAACTTTACTTTTAATTAAACTACAAAAACTTTTTTTTTTTTAATTTGCTGATCCGTCCTGTGCATTGTATTATTAATTTAACCTGTCATTACATTATTATTGCTGTACGAAAAATGACTGGTGTAGGTGTTAACTGTTCGTTGATTTTATTGTGAAAACAATATCCTATATTTTAATTAATTGTAAATATTTCATGAAACAAATCATAACAACATGTTTAGTTATTATTGGCTTAAGCCATTATATTATGTACCAATATTTTATTCCAATTTTTATCATTATTAATAATAATTATTAATACTATTAGTTATTGTTAAGAACATGCATTATTCATCTGAATAAAATATCAAATGAGTATAACCTAATCTACCACTGTTTTTTTTATTTTTTTAAATATGACATGCTAGGTGCTTATTAACTTATTTTATCGTTCACAAATTAAAATTAAGGCCTGTTAGAAATGTTATGTTATTATATAATACAAGCAGTGCTACAACTGCATTACTATTTACTATACTAATGGTGTTGGCTTGGGTTAGGTATGTCCATATGTGTACCTACCAGGATACATAATGTGTAATAAAATTATCTGGAAAGTATTGATGTATAAAGTACTGCTGATCACAGTATGTTCAAGTAAAATCACCTGTGTGTAAAATATGCAATAGAGTAACTAACTAGGTAAAATGCCACCTAATCTGTGCTAATACCATTGATTATTCTGGAAAAGAATCTTTGGTAATATGATGCGTAATTATGAATAACAAATTTACATTGTGTGCAGTTTATTTTAATGAATTTCATTTTAAAATTACAATTTTTCTTGTTAAATAAACTTACAAACTGCAATATTATACCTATTAAAGTTTTATAACTATTAAGCGTACATGCTATGTCATTGTTATGATGTATAAATATATATTATATTATTTCATACCTAAATTAAAAATTTCATAGATCTTCTATGAAATGTAGAATGTTTTAGATAAACCCTTTGCAAAGCAAATTTGTTAAGGCTCTACATAATATTGTATTAAAGTATCATAGATCAAAGCTGATTTTCTGTATTTATCTGTTCTAGAAAATTAATAATCTTTTTAAAGCCACATAAAATAAATTTATTCATTGAACTTGCATAATATAATATTATCAATCTGAAATGAATAAATATATAAATTTGGAGAATCCACTCTGCTTTATAGTAGATATCAAGTG